AGTCGAGCACGTTACCGCTAGGATAACGCGCTGATTTAAAAATATAAATTCATTAGTGGTATATATTCAATACATTAAATAATTTTTTCCATTGAAATACACAAAATGTGGCTTCCCCCTTCCACTCGTTCTACAGGCGGCTAAATTTCAGTTAAACAAATGTAAAACAAAAAGCATTCATACAGCAGAAAATAAAATTCACCCCGTCGACTTGATGGACACCCCAGCATTGCAATAAAAACTTGGTTAATAAAAAAAAAACACCCCAGCATTGCGTGCTGCGCCCTCCCTCTCTTGGGGTGCAGTACTACGATGCTGCTGGGGTCACTCAAACCCCCAGAACTGAGCCTCTACTTTAGTCAATCCTCTCTGATCAACACCCAAAACCTGGGGTAATTTCAAAAACTTGTAAAACAAAACACAATCGGTGATGGCGGTGAAAGGAAGTGTAAACAGAAGCAAGAAATGCATTGGTAAGGGAATTTTCATGCAGTTTGATGAGTTTGGTTAGATTTTTGAAATTTTTGAGGGAATTCGAATGCATTTGTGGAGTCTTTGAAAGAATCTTCAAAACGAGTGAGAATTTTTGTAATTTTATCAAACAATTTTGATATATTTCTGTTGGTGCGCAGAAGAATGGAAACGAAGCGGCGGGAGTCACGGGCGCATGCGCAGTGGTGCAGATGATGGAAGCGTTGAGAAAGTTGAGTTCAGTGCGACTCGTTGGATGGAGGAAGGAGGGTCGATTCGTTTTTATCACCGGCACTCCAACCCCCTCGTTCCACTGTTGTTTATTCATTCACCCGCGGATATCAATTCATCATTACCATCACTATTTTTACCGAAAAGTGTGCATGTGTACCAGTGCAGTTGTGAGTAAACGGTTCAGTAAAAAATTCAATCATGAGTGCAATATCGTTTTTGTGGGTGACTTTTGGATTTTTGTGGCTCGCGTGCTACGGAGTGCAGGGAAAAATCAACTGCGGCCTTGTGAGGCCCTATTTTCAGGCCCAGGGCTTTCCACCCAGTGATATACCCAAGGATCCCATATCATGTGAGTAAAAATTCATTTCAAGATATAAATTCATCACATAATTGATTAATTACTGCGCACCAATTGAGAGATCTACAATTGAGGGATTAAGCCGTATAATGGGACCGGGTCGGGTCTTATCAGGTCTGATTACTTGATTACTCAATTTAATTAACGGATTTTTTACGTGAAAAATTGGTTGAACAAAGTCGAATGGAATAAATTTTTCTATATACTCTCATTTATTCATATTAGAATAAATTGAAGTGCATTATTAATGCATACTAATCAAGAATCGCGGCTTCATGTCTCAAAATCAATATGAACGTTAGGGGGTTCGTTGGAAGATTGATCAATCAACAGAATGAGACATCCAAGGGGATGAAGTAGTGATGGAGCAGAGTGACGTCAATAACTCAGGATTGGTGGGGTGAAATTGAAAAAATGTTTTCTTATTTTCGAGGTATTTTAATTAGCCTCGAGATGAGACCTCTCTCGCTCAGATTGCATCGTCTGGACAGGGGATATTCGTGTTTATATATTATAATTAGCTTCTCGTTGATTGACACGTGGAAATGGTATTCATATCGATGATCATTGATGGAAAATTGATGAGGACGAGGGTAAAGGGATTGGGATTCAGTTTTTAATGCTGAATTGAAAAATTCTGATGAATTGTTGCTGGTGAAATAGGTGGAGTAAGGGGGGAATAAAATGAAATGAGCATGCGGTCGAGTGCATGTAAATGGAATACATGGTATAACCAATCGGTCTCTTTGGTTTACGCGCGTCCGACTAAAAGGGATTCGCGGATGTAAGAGGGACCGGCGAATCATCGCAAAAACAGCTAAATCTCGTGTCTGTTGGCTTTTTATCGTGGTTACCACCGCGGCTTGAGAGTCTGGGGAAAATGGAGCTCTTCTACGATTATATCCTTGCTCTCGCCTCCTAATTTATACATTCCCCAGTGAAATTGCATTCACATTCAACGGAAATTTACCCTCAAATTCCACAGAATATTCTACTTCAATTCATTTTTCTCTATTTTTTCTCACTCTGAAGACCTGATCCACGGTTGCCCAAAAATTGACAAAACAACGTGAAAAATGAGGAACTCTTTTATTTCCTTATTTTGGTTTTCAAAAGTTTATAACAATTTAGGAATTAGAAAATCTCTTTATACCGCAAGGTATTGGTATTGGTAGGGTAAAACAAGGGCTTGAGCTAGGTTCTTGGTGACTCGCATTGGGTTTTCTCTCTGAACTAAACCGTCCCGTTCAAATAAAACAACACCATTCGACTTCCAGAATGAGCTAACTCCTAAACCCACTGTACCAAGGGTTTTTTTTTGTCAACTTAACAGACCCTTATTTGTTTCTCCAACTGCCAGGCAACTCTCAAACAGAATAATAATAGGCGATTAAGTTTAAAGAGTTTTAAAATATTCCCCAGAAGATATTTGTTCATCCTCTTTGGTAATTGTTTTCATTTAATACGCGGAATAATTTGGGAAGTGAGAGGTGTATGGATACCTGGGTAAAACAGGAGAACAAGTCTCGAAAAGGTCTATCATCACGACTGTCCAGGTGGGCGCTTCGGTAATTATACCTCAACCGTGCTTGACACTTTTCATACCTGATCTTTTTTACTCCACACTTTCCAATGCTCTACGCTCATTTAATTTCACGAGTAAATGAATGATTGAGGAATTTTTTTAAGCGTAAAATCGGGTTTAGGATTTTTCTGACTGAGATTTATTAGTGCTGTCTCCAATGATAGTTCATTCAGCTGCTGGGTCTTCATTATTGCGCCTTGTGTGGTATTTTCCTCTATTTCCAACAGAATTCTCTGAATAGACAATTATTTCAAATTGTATTTCTCCACAATTTCCGTTGAGAAAATAATGGTAAAATATCAATTACGGATAGAAAAATTCTTCTGCATAAAATAGGGTCTTAAATTATTCTAACGGAAATTGACTGCTGTCACCAGTGATGGTACATTACTGCTCTTCGTGTGGGATTTTTAAAAGTCTCCGAAATACCTCAGCATAATCAATAATTTTACATAATATTTCGCGAAGATTCCCCCAAATAATTAATGTCGAAATATGATAATATCTACTGCCATCTTCAATAAAATATTTCTATTCAAATGATCTCTAAAGAATTCCATTGGGTTAACGACACAGCCAAATATTCGCGGTATATTCATCTGAATTTGCTGATGCCACCCTGGAAGCAAGGTTTTTCTCAAGATGGAATAGGAGATGGAGGAGATATACATAGAAACGGTGAATGATTAACGATCGGCAATCTCTCGCGTGACTTTCCAAGTCCACAGCGATTAGTAGCACAAGCTCCATTGCAACCAACACAGACTTGGTAAGAGGGGAATCATTAGCAGAATTCTGAGCACGCCAGGAACTCTCTCCAAATTCTCACATAAATATGAGGCTCTTTTTCTCGTTCTGCTCGCGGCTTGACCGCCAGCCTCATTAGGCACTCCTCATAATGTTGTTAAAAACATGATGACGGTGGAATAGGTTTGGAATGTGTAATGGCGAAATCTTGGGTAATGGAAATCCTCCCCATGGACCTCTGAATTCTTCGTTGATTAGACCAGAGGACATCTTCATTCTCATTAATGAGATTAGATCATTCCTATCGTGTTGGGTCTATTAATAGTGTAATCCACTAAAGTTTATTCTCAAATATCGCCTCGGTCTATTTGTCCTGAGGGACCAAGGCTTTGCTGAGCGGTGGTTTTTACGAGTGGTCTCACCTACCATAAAGAAGCTGTTACTGAACATCCGGAAGTAGCGCCTCATCTCTCTCCATGAGTATCCCAGAGGTGTTAATAATCGGTTCAAACATGGACTCTGGAGTGGAGAGACAATAGCTATCAACTGCTGTTTCTTTTGCATTCCTCAATCGGAGAGACTCAAGTGTTTCACCTGTCATTTTAAAATATTTTCATCTGGATAATAGCTGAATCCTCTGATACCCTACCAAGGATCCTGTGACTCAGCTGAATGCTAATCCAGTGATGCCTTCGTCCAGCCACTGGGGGAAAAATTATATCGTTTAGGAGCTTCGACATTCTGCCGATCAGGTTACCTATCATCTTGAGAATTTTTTTTTTTTGTATGAGACTACCAGATTGTCCTGTGGTGAGGTTGGCGACGTGATTGGCCGATGGTCAAGTTATAAAGTGTCGAGAAAAGGTGTTGAAGGTTTTCTCTGGTGAAATACGTTTTGACAGTTGGAGATCACTATCAGGGCTCCTGAATGTGGGATATCAGGTGACGATAAAAAATTTTAATCATCGAAATAATTACAATGACAGATGAGTATTCTGGAAAAATGATAAAATGGAACACTTGCTTTCATGCAGAAATAAAGCAACACGCGGGATAGGTATGAGAGTTTAAAAAAGTGTCTGAAGCAAGGTGAACAAGTCGGCTTTAAAACTTCCCTCCATTTCATATTTCGCCTCCGTCGGTTCTTCTCTTCGTTATTTAAAAGTTATAACTTATAAGAGCGGCCATTAAGTCCGTTAGGCATGGCGAAGAGGTAAGGTTGGCAAGGGCCACGGAAATACTCTCCGCTGCATTCCATTCTTGAAACCCCCTCTCTCATTCTTTTCAATGTTCCTTTCTATGCTGCCACGGTGAAAGAGGATTTTTAAATAAAAACACCACGAAACCTGTCTCTTGCTTGTTTAAATCTGCATTCTTTATTTCTTAATATCGAATTTCAGGGGAATTAGTTAAATTGTGAGGGACTTTATTTTTTATCGTACCGGTGAATAGCTTTTGGTAATTAACATGCAGGGAGAATAGATTATTCAGGATTATTTATTTATTTTCATCTTTATTTCTCATTTGAATATTTCTAGAGAGATGGAAGAGACGCGTGTTGACTGTCGACGTTTAGTGTTTATTTAAGAGAATCGAGGGGGTGGCACAGAGTTGTTCATGGGGTTTAGTGGCATCTCGTGATTGATGGCCTGCTCTATTTTTGGGGTACGACATATAGGTCTTGCGAGGAAAGAAAAAAATACATTTTACCCCAGGATTGATATTCTCGAGACTATTTTTTCAATGCCCATAATGGAAATGGGTCAGCAGATGAAATTGAAAATACACTGCAACTTCTCACCGTCGATTTATTTTTTCTTCTCACAATTTCATTAAATAATTTCTAGTAATGAAGAGAGATAATTCAATAATTCATACCACCTTGATAATTTTGTGCTGAATGTCTCGGGTTTGTCAATTTCTGAATAGTTATACTGATATGGGGGGATGAAATTGAGTGGTGTACTTTCCCACGGCGGTATTCCGGGGCCTTTTACCAACGTAATAAGTCTTAATACCTCCCTGTCAAGAGCCCACTGGGTTTCTCTCAGTGAAGGACCCCGGGGAGCCGACAAATGAAAAATAATGTTAGTCTAACGGTTCATCAACCTGCGAACGCCTCTGAGGTACTCGCTCCCTCTCATTTTTCCCTCTCATCCCCTCTCACCCAAGTAAATCTCCCTTTGTCTTTTATTTGTATAAACCTCCAGGCCCTTTCTCAGGTCACTGCGATATTCCGCAAGTGGTAGTTTACACTTGCTCAGTTACCGCAATTCACTGAAATCTCTGAATGAGGCACTCTGTCCAAATTCAACCGCAAGCCCTTCATGTACCCAACACAATCAGACAAACTCGAGAATTTCATCCTGATTGCACCGGTAGTAAATCACTCAGTATTTCCACCGGATAACCCTCCATTTTATTTATAATCCATTTTTTATTGTGGAATTTTCCGAAAAAAAAAAAAACCATGTTGGCCTGCAGAAATTGCGTGAAATTTTTAAGAGTGTAAAAAAATTGTCTGGAGGATTTACCGGTGTCCTGTGGTGGTAGACTTGGAGATGGTGTCTCCAGAGACGCATCTCGGAACAAAGTACCTCCTCCTCACCCCCATTTGTTTCTCCTCTTATTATTTCCTTCTCTACCATTTCTTTGCATA